AACGCACCAGAATTATACACGTCAGCTATTTGGTTGATGAAGAATTGGATAAGGAAGAACAAAAATTTATACTTTTTCAAATAGCAGACAAAATGAATATTCTAAATAAACCCATTTTGGGGACCCCACAATGAAATCCTTTTTATTTAAAAATAATAATTAAAATTTCCATAAATACAAAATAAGAGAGTTTCGATAAAGATAGTCGAAACTGATGATGGTGGCAGAGAAGAAGCTTTCGAGGAGTTTTAAATTTTTTGAATTTTGACCATCTTTTTCTTTCTTTTTTTCCTCTATAATTTACTTTTTTCAATCACCCATTAATTCCTCTTTTTTTTTTCTTTAATTTCTTTATTTTTCTTTATTTTACCTTCATTTTTTTTTTTTAATTCTTTTGGGGCTGTGTTCTTGGGGAATGGTAAAGGAAAGCTGAAGCAAAGCAAAAATAAAGGCAATAGGAAGAAGGAGGGGTACTGATTCCATTCTCTCTCTTTCTCCCACCCTTTGATATTCTTTTTTTTAATTTAATTTACAACTTCCATTAATAATTAATTTAATTTAGAGGGGAAAAAAAAAAGCAAACAAGAACCTCACTTTTTTTTCAAGCTTTTTTTTTTAATGGTTAATAAATATCTTTTTTTTTTAAGGCAGAAACTAACATAATAGTTAGAATCAAATGGATAATTATTTATTTAACATGATTCCAAATATTCAATTAAATAATGTTAGCTTGGAATTTTTTATTTTTTTTAATTATTTTTTTTTAAAATGAAAGTGAGGTAAGATAAATGGGGAGTTGGGTTGGATGCACGTGGCGTGGCGAAGACGTATGTATAGGAATGGGAGTAAAACGTCATGAAAATGATAAAAGTTGCCTCTTTTGTTCTACTTTTTAGTCCTCCAAAATCTTTTACTTTCCAACTCTTTTACCTCTTTATTTATTTTTAAATTCACCCAATTTTCTATTTATGTAAAACATTTAAATTAAAAAAGAAAAAAAGATTGTGGGCTGTGAAATGCTTTGTGCTTGGGCCATGAAAAATTCAGTTGATGGGCTTGGCCCATTTCGTTTTAAACCTCAGTAGCCCAAAATACTACACTGGCCCATATTATCCCAGGCCCAACTATCCACGGATAAAATTCCCGCTCTTTTAAAAATATCTCTACGTTCTCTTCTCACAATCGTGGCTCAGCTGCTCGCCCCTTGCCCGCCTTTTCTTATTATTGAACACAACAATTTTCATATTTGCGCTTATATTTTATGAACCGTTTCAATCGAAAATCAGATAATTGTTATTAGGTTAAAGATAAAATTTACCTTTAAAATTGTTGGACTTACTTCCACGTTAACTATCGTCTCATCCAATGCAACTCTTTCTACTTCTTCGTCGGAATCTCCTTCGATTTGTATTTTTTCTTCAATGTTTCTCATTATACTACCAGATTTTCGTTCTCTTTGCATGATTCTCTTTTTATTTCTGTTCTTTGATGTGCATGGATTGATAGCTTTCCCATAATAAAGGAATGCTTCTTTTTTGTATTTTGATCGGTCAATGATCTAACAATGATCTTTAATTCTTTTCTTTTAGCATATCATCAGCTAGGCGGATTCTTTTTTAGTTTTTTATTTGTGTATAATTATTTTGTAATTCGTCCATTTCTTCTTGTTTATCAATAATCTATGCATTCAAATTTCCTTTTTATTTCAAATTCAGAATTCTTTTTCAGAATTCATTGACAACATATTTCTAGAGGGATTACTGAGCAGCAACAGGATTTACTGGGATTGAATCCCCCCTTGTGTTTTCTCCAAAGTTGAATTCTACAAATTTTGAATCAATTCTTTTGAAAAAGGTTCTCGATCATTGATAGCTGATACCATCATTTCATTTGGTTATGCTACAAATTATTTATCATATACTTTTGAATACATACAAACGTTGCAAATGTTTAATCAATTCTTCTAAAAAAATACTGCAAATGATAACTTACAAGGTTTGAATACCCTTTCTTCCTTCCCTCCCTCCATCATCATTTATTACTAACATCTTCTTCCCTCTATTCGTTCCTATCATAAATGAAAAATAGTCAAGTTGGAGTTAATCAACCAAATGACATGTCAGAAATTAGTGAGAATGTTAGTGATATCCATTGAAAAAATGTTAGAACAACTACCTCCTGTTAATGTAGATGGTAGCATTTATCAAGTTTCGAAACAACTACGCGAGATGAATAATTCAGCTTACATCCCTCAAGTCATTTCCATCGGTCCATTTCATCATCGTAGTCGAAATGATTTAATAGTCACAGAACAATATAAGCTTCAAGGTCTTAGTAACTTTCTACGTCGTTTAGATGACAAAATGAGTTCATTGGAGTTTCTAGTTAAAACTACTCAAGTTTTGATAAAAAAAAAAAAAAAAAAAAAAAAGCCCGAAATTGCTATGCAAAACCTATAAACATGAGTGATGAAGATTTTGTTAAGATGATGCTCGTAGATGGTTATTTCATAGTGGAGCTCTTGATTCTATATTATGAGCAATATGACCCGACCGCATTCTTTAAAATTCAAAACAAGGTAGATCTTTCCTTCTACAAAAGAATTTCTCATATATATATTGATTTGATTAAGCTCGAAAATCAAATCCCTTTCTTTCTTCTTCAACATTTGTTCAACCTCGTACCACAAAATTATGCTCCCTTCTTGTTTATAGGACTGACATATGTGTTTTCACAATGTGGATTGATATATAATTATTCTCTTCCCGATGTCTTATCGATAAAACCAAAACACTTTGTTGATTTCTTAAACTTCTACTTTGTTGTGCCCACCATGTCTTCTGAGCACACCATTAATGATGAGAAGATTATTAACCCTCCATCGGTAACTAAGCTTTGTGAGGCCGGTGTCACCATCAAAAAAGCTGAAAATGCCAAATATATAATAGATATAAGCTTCAAAAATGGAGTTCTTGCAATTCCACCTGTGTATATTGATGATTACTTCGAAACCATGATGCGAAATCTGATAGCATTTGAGCATTTGTCAGTGAAAAATAACAAATGTATCCAATATGTGTCATTATTGGATTATTTGATATGCACAGAGAAAGACATGAATTTACTTGTGGGAGCCGGGATCATAATCAATGATAATGGAGGGAATGATAAAGAAGTTTCACTGTAAATTTGTCATAGTCTCAGATTATTACCACTTCAATGATATCAACAAAGCTTTACGTAGACACTGCAATAGACAATGGAATAAGGCAAAAGCTTCACTCAAGCATAATTATTTCAATACGCCGTGGGCTATTGTTTCCTTCTTTGCAGCCACTTTACTCACTGTTTTAACCCTCCTTCAAACTATATTCTCGGGTGTATCTACATTTTCTAGCTAGCCAAACTCATATATAGTATATTATATTTATCTTCTTTCATATAAATAGTATATTTTATTTACTTTTAAAGAAAATGTAATTAAAATACTAAGTACTAACACTTCAGTAAAAAGTATACTAATGAATACCTTAGAATTATTTTTTACCACGCTTAAATTTGTAATTTCTTTATTTAGAAGAAGTAATTTTTGGACATGATTGATTAACAATTTACCTTCACTGGACGCCTTCAAGCTTTGGATAATTTTTAATTTAATTTTGTAGCTTTAATATGAACTCAAAAAATACTCTTATCAAATAAATGAAATTAATTTATTTTTGTTTCTAAATCACCCAGCCTAGTTGAGTCCAATTTGTAAATATTTATTAAAAAAAAAAAAAAAAAAAAAAAAAAA